AAGACAGTCTCAAACTGAATGGGAGATGTGAGGAAGCCTTGAAATAGGACCAACATGAAATAACTTCTTTGTCATTCCCCTTCTCCCCAGGATTTTGGACAGGATGTCTGTGGATAAAATGAAATTTTGAAATGAATATCAAAAGTTTTTTTACTAAGGCAGATTCCATTCCCATTTTACAAAAATTCCATAGTAATATATGGGATAAGAGTTTTCAAAAGCTGCATTTATCAGAGTAGCACAAGAAAGGTCCTTTTCAAAGTCCCTCAGCTGTGATGATTCTGCTCCCTTAGAGTCTGTAATGAAGCCATTTCAGTCTAAAAGTGGGAAGGAAAGTTTGGTCAAACGTTCTTTTTATGTATATTGCAGAAATATTTGCTCATAAATTTATTTCATTGCTGTATATTAAAGACAATTTAATTTAATTTAATTGAACTTCCTGAGCTTTATGGAAACTTTTCTTTGGCTGTGTTGCTCCCTTGACAGAATGATATTTCACTTTCTTCCACCTTTTTTGCTACTCTCAGAAAGTTGCTACAAACTGTTGCACAGAAAGAGAAATTTATTTTTTGGTCTGTTGTTAGTCTTTGATCTCAGCTTAGTTTCATTGCAGAATACTGTGATTCAGAGTCCTAGCAAAGGTAGGGTTTCTTACCTATGCAGAGTTAGTAACCAGTGGCCACCTTGTTCCATGGTATGCACTGGTTCTAGGCTGGGCTAGGTCCAGATTTCTGATTTTAATTGAAAGTTTTCATAAACATTAGATTCTAAAATAGGCTTTTGATGCAAAATCTTATCAGTCTCTTCAAGCTGATGCTTGCTTTGGACTTTATCAGCTAACCAGCAACACAACTATGGCTTATGTTCTTTTTTCCCCCCTTTTTTTTTTTTTTAGTTGAGAAGATTTTGGCAGGAATTGCTGCAGTCAGACCACTATAGAAACCAAATTAGCTGCTCAAAATTCCAGGAATTTAACCTTTATTTGCATTTTCTTTTTCAGCAGAGACAAGGTTGGGGACCCACTGCTGCAAAACGCAGCTGCTGCTTCTCCTTTTTGTGGTGGCTTTGCAGAGCAGACTGGTTCTGGCTCTCTGAGCACCTGGCACAAGACCACAAAGCGTTTGATGGCTCTGCATTATCAAGGGGGAGAGACTCATTGCTTTTTTTCTCTCCGTGCCCACTTGGCAGATTGCAAAATAGGAGGGGACTTTGCTGTTGGCATGGGGGAGCTTACAGCCTGTGTAAATGTGATGTGATCCTGGGTTTTGCTCGCGGTGAAATAGTCCTCTTGTAATCATTATGAAGGGCATGTTCCTGGAAACAACATTGCTTTTTAATGTTGCAGTTAGAAATAGTGCTTGGGTTTGTAACCTGATTTAACACCCCCTCCCCCCAAAAAATCAAACCAACCTAACTGTGAACAAATGTTAGTACCGGACAAATACATTTGCACTAGTTGGGTAGGAAATTTGGATAAGCTTTAGTATTTTATTTTTATAATATGTTCATATTTGTATGAATGTAACTTTATACTACAAATGAGAATTTTGCTGTCTGTTCTGTTGATTTGTACTATACTCTCAAGGCATTTCTTTTTTGAAAGCAGATGGCTCCTTTTTGTGGATATGACTTGCAGGAATTATTCTAAAACAAGATTAAGAAATCTGTACAGAATATGAATGATAAAAGGAACACGACTGTCCATCTCCCTACTTTTTCCTCAGTTTCTCTTGAGGAACTACTTATATTTCCTTGGTCAAAAGGCAATTCCAAAATGCAATATAAACTGTTAATAAGATTAGAGAAATTTTTTTTAAGAGGTTGCATGAATCATGTGACCCACATTCATAATTTCTTCCAGTACCTCCCCAATTTTATTAATATTACCACTAATTTGCAAATAGGAACTGCAGGAGAAGTTTTCCAAAGGTGGCTGTTGCTCTGATGTCTCTTTTCAAGTTCACTGGGAGTTACGTGGTGGAATTGAACTGAATTTTCTGTCTGTGAAGTCCAGCATGTTTTCTGAGATCAGAGTCTCAGAGACATCCCACGCAGTTCTGAGCACTTTATGACTGGTAAAGCTTTTGAACACAAAACATAAAGAACACCAAAAAAGCTGTTCTCAGTCTCATTTTTTTACAGTGGCCCATAGCGGGTGCCTAGGAAAGAGAGTGACAGTGGGGCAAGCAGAAATAGTGACTTTCCCCATCTGTGCTCCAGCTTTCAAGGTCTCTCTGGCTTGAGGGTTTTCTGAATCAGAGCCTGTGCCTTCGTGTTTAAGGCTGTGTCCTTGTGTCTGTGGGCTCTGAGTTGTGCTAGCATGAAAACTGACTTCTTTTCTGATAAATGGTTAGTTTGTGTCAAAGGCATTTTTCAGTCCATGTGGGTAATATGTAGCCTGTTGCCAAAAACCTAATCTCTGGGATGCTGCTGAACTGCATGCAGGGCTCTGGTTAGTTGATGGAACAATAAAACTCCTCACATGGTAAAGTAGTTGAAACACATTGCCCTTCTAAATCTGTTTTTTAAAATACAGTGTTTTCCACTGCAGCATTTTTGTTGGTTTTATTTCTGGTTTCCCTAGATATCTCTTCTCCTGTTCCTTCCTCACGCCTATGAAAAATGGGAAAAACCCAGTCAAGTCTCTGTCCTCCATAATGTTATTTATATTTCCCTGAAATTATTTTGATTTATTTTCTTAAAAGAATGTTTGGATTTAGAGCTACTTTGAAGCCTCTGTGTACAGTTACTATCTTGGCTTATGTTTTTAAGGCTCTTCAAGAGGCAGTGGCTGAACAATTACAGTTCCAAAATTTGATTCTTGCTCTTTAATATGATTTTAAAAAGAAGGTGGTTTTTTTCCCTTTTGTTTAGCAAAGTGAGATGGACCCACTCCAAAGGACTTTGGACAGCTAGAAGCTACATTTTGTGATGCTGAGTCTTTTTTTCAAATGAAATGTCCATTGTACAGAAATAAAGATCCCTGTCCAAATACTTCAGTTTCTGCTAGTTCTGTCAGTCATCTGCCCTAAGTGTAAGATTTTACCCTAATCTGTTACCTAGTTTTGAGCTACTCCAAATTTGATCTCCTTATTTTCCTGTTTCGCAGCCAAAATTTTATCTGTAGATTAGTTATTCCCCTTCAACCTGTGATTCCTTATAACTCTATTCTGCATAGGAATATTGTCTTATTTTTTATTATTGTCTTCCACATTTTACCTTTCTCCATTTAAGAGATTCCTCCAGTGCCAGCTTTAAGACATCTTTCATTTGTATGTATTTCTAGCATAAACCAACATTGTTTGCAAGGAAAGTACCTTAGTAGCAGATACCATTAAGCTGAGTGGGAAAAGAAGATTTGTATGAGTGGGAGAATGTTTTACTGTTGACATAATTTTATTTTTTTTTAATAATGCGGTATTCCCGTTGCATTACACAGCGGACATGCTAATTGCTTCATTAACCTCTTAATCTGTGTTCAGGTTTTCACTGGTGATGTAGTAGCATTACATTAATTTTCAGCCATCCTTTCACCTCTTTAAGTAAAGTAGTATTCCTCGCATTAACAGTTTGTTTCCTAGACCTACTAACTGTTGATCTGTCACACATTTTAAAACATAATTTCATTTGTGGCTCTTTGTTGTTGTTATCTTACTTGTTACTATTATGCAACTTCTAACTTTAACTCATCCTTACTTACTGGAATTGACTTATTAAGAGTTTCAATACCATTCCTGTGAAGTCTGTAGTGCTTTTGTGAGCTTCTTGCTTGTGTAATTTTGAAATCTCAGGTATTTTTCGTCTGTTGTGTTGTTATTCATATCCCCAGGTGCACCAAGATCAGGTAGTTCAGCAGAACTTATCTCAGAAAGGAGCACTGATCTGTTCAACTTTATAAAAATTCAGGGAAATTTGTTAAGTAGCTTGGACGTGCAATCTAAATGTGAGCATGTCTATGAGTATCATCGTATCATTGGTGGAACCTAAGCACGTGCTTAATGTTAAGCATAAATATCTGTTACCTTATATTGAAGAGGGTTTTCCCAGCTAGGAGCAAGTTTCTGCATGTGAATCTGCAGCATACTGTTAGCTCAGCTCCTGATAAAATGAGATTTAATGATTCTTGTTTAGATTATATTTGCCAGAAATGAAGAAAGAAAACCACTGAGTGGACAGTTTGACAGTTGTTTTTGGTGAGATGAGGTTTTTGGTGTTTACGTTAAATTTAAAGACTGGTCAATGATGAGCTTCAACAGAACTTCATGCTTGTTGTCTCTTAAATAGGATTATAATCTTTTGTACTTATTACTAATTTGGCTTATTACTAATTTTTGTATGTGGAATGTTTCTCCTATTCCTAGAGGGATTCTATTTATGACTGTGCCACTTCTTTAAAGATCATATTTTATTTTGTTTTGTTCTCTTCTAATGCTTTCTCAGCATTTAGGTTTTATTTGTTTTAGGTTTTAATAACTTCTCTAGTGCAGAAATTCTTGGTTTGTTCATATGCTTTACAAAATTTGTACTATTTGTTTCATTTATATCATAACATGCACATATGTGTGAGTACATGTAAGCATGTTGCAATTGTATCTAATTATATTAACTGTATGTGTGTCTATATATGTAAAAATTTCACTATGAAACTGTATGTGCTGGGTTTCATAATTTAATTTCTTTGTGCCAATATATGTTTCAAAAGGTATTTCATTTAGAATCACAAATACAAAACTGAGTTAGAAATTTATGGTACATAGTGAAAATAGGATTATTATGAAAATAAGGCAAATTATGTGTGTTTATATTGCAAATTATGAATGATTATGAATAGAAAAATGTGGAGTAGGCTCAATGTATTTATAGTACGCTGCCCATATTGTACATGCCACAAGAAATAATTGTTTATACTTCCATTACTAAAATTTGGAAATGGTATTATGCTGTTCTCACCACGCTTCAAACTCTATAGAACAATATTTTTCTTTTTACTTTTTTCCCAGCACTTGCTACTAGCAATAAAATTCATCATGGCGTTTGTAATTCCGGATAAGCCAAGAGATATCCAGATGAAACTCGCCAAATTGGAATTTGAATCTTTAGAGGCTCTCAAACAACAGGTAAGAGCAACTGACGTGTGTAACAATGAAAGGCGTTGGTGGCCTGAAGGAAGGATAAACCAAGGAGGCTCTGCTTTTGTTATAGGCGGATAAATGCATAAATCTGGGGATTTTGAAATTCCTATTTACAGCCACTGATAGTACAGTGTACAGCACAGGATGTTCAATAAATAGCAAACAGTGCTGGTTTGCTTCTACACATTGGGTTGTAAACTGTAGCATTTCAGGTACTGCTCCATTTTCTGTTAATCCATCACTGCTCAAGAAGTGGAGCAGAGAGCTGGAAGTTTTAATTGCTTCATCTGGGCTTTCACACAAGTGAAATGGGCTTCCTTTTCATACAGCTTGAAATTTCTGGTATGGGTGGTAATGTAGCGACTTGTAATGTCTGTTGTCCTTGTGTTTGCACACATACTTTATTTTATCAGTTTTAAAGGACATTGGGGTCTATCAAACCTAATTTCATCCGCTAGAGGTATTTGTTGTTGTAACACTAGGATTTCTGTCATTGCTGAAATACCATCACAAATAAACAGTTAACTCAGCTGTGATATAAACAGAAATTGTAAACAAAACTTTAAAAAATGTTTGAGAACTAAGTATGTATGATGGAAAGGTAATGTTACCTTATTTTCCTCAACACACAATGTTTTATTGCATAAATAAGGTATGTTTTACAAGATACTTACCAGGTATTACAGAGTGAGAAACTAGATTTTTCTACTGAAAATTTCTATTTTAACAATTGATTCCATAGAGAGAGTCGTGATCACAAGAGATGAAGAATTGTATTAGCTTCAGTAGGATGCAGGGATTCTGCAAAGCTGGTTTTGCAATGGCAGCATACTTTAGGAGTTTCTGACTGACTGTACTATGCTAGATAGGATTTCTAAGCTAGCAAAAAAACCCCAGCATGCAGCTGCAAAGACTGGTTCACCTATTTATTGTTAGCTCAGGTATTTTTACACTGCAGTGCATGGTTTTACATGACCATTTTCTTTTTGTGCTCCAGATGAAGGTGTGTAACCTCCTCTATACTGTGTTTTCTGTGTAGAACTGGAGGTTACTTTTTAAAACATTTACCATAGTGGCATGTGACAAAATGTTCCCTTAATTCTGCAGAAACTGAGCCTGTAAACAATACCCTGCCTTTCCTGGTTGAAATGCCAGAGTTTTGTGTGATGCTAGAACATGGCTGTTGAGGTCAGCACTGTCTTCCATAATCAGCCATAACAAACAAAATCCAAATTATAACTGAATAGCCTGATACTTTTGTTTTGCCTTTTTCTTACTTGTCAATGTGAAGTTACCAGGAGCTGGTCATGGATCTTATGTACTTTTTAGGTAATATTAAAAGGAACAGGGCTGCTTTTCTATTTCAGTTGTTCCTTATCTGTTTTCATTTTGTAGACAGGCAAAACTAGGCCATCCGCTGAAACCTTAAGCTCAAGTGAATACAGTCACCTTTGGTTATAATGTGCCAACTGGAATATATACAGAGCCTTTTTCAATATGCGTACTCATGTCGGCAGTTAGGGCTTCATCTCCTATCCTTGCATCTGTGCATTTCCTACAATAATATATGCCTGTTCCCCAGTTCTTCAGGTTGGTTTCATTAATTCAGTAGTGAAAAGTGAGTCTAAATTTCAGTAAGAATCAGAAGCCTGACAGTTCTCACCTAATGCTTTGAGTCTTCCTACAGGATTTAGGAAGAATATTGGCTGGTTTCTTAGGTGCCTTTAAACACAAGTATCTATCATTACCTTTTTAGATTTCCTCTGATTGATACTGTGCTGTGTATCCCATAGACATAGAGAGATTGGGGCTTTTTTCTGGTGCCTTATTTTTCTGAGTAAAAAATATCTGCAAAATGGGCAGTGCAGAAAGATGCTGAAGCCTTTATTTTAGAAGCATGTTTTCAAGTGTCTTTTTACTGAGAGTCATCATGGGAATTTAAGCTGTATATCTTTCAAGCAAAAAAACAACAACAAACCCCCCCAAAACAACTGTTTAAAAAAAAAAGAAATAAACAAAAAAGCCAAACAGACAAAAAAGCCAAACCAAAAAAAAGAACCACACAAAACCCCCCAAAAAACAGACATAAAAGTCTGGGGCAAATTTGTTGTGGGATCATAGAATTGTTATGGTTGGAAAAGACCTTTAAGTTATCATCACATCCAGCCGTTATCTAACTCTACCATGTCCCTGAGCACCATATCTGTATGGCTTTTAAATACGTCCAAGGATGGTGTTTCAACCACTTCCCTGGGCAGCCTGTTCCAGTCTCTGATAACCCTTTCAGTGTAGAAGTTTTTCCTAATGTCTAACCTAAACCTCCCCTGGTATAACTTGATGCCATTTCCTTTTGTCCGTATGTCGTATGTTACTGAGAAACTGGTTTATATATTTTTGTGGGAGTATGCATCACATTCCTTTCTTGATGCTACCCAGACATGCATGCTGTTGTGTTTTACCATGTGAGCTTTTAGAGTAGTGCTGTCTTGGGATGTAGCTATTAAAAGGGTATTAACACTATCGGACTGTAAACCTCTAAGATGCCAAAATAGATTATTAGACTCCACATACGGAGCATGGAGTGAAAATCTCCTAATACAGCTGCTTTGAACCAGTTGTATTGATTATTCTTGGGATTCTTAACTTTAGACAGTGTGAGCACCTTTACATTTTCATTAACGCTGAGCTAATTGGTTTTCAACCTGGTGCAGTGGGACTGTAACTATTCTGTGTTCAAATCCATTTAGAAACTGAGTTAGTGACTATTTGAAAGGGATTTTAGGGAATACGGTGTCTTACCTCCCTAATGGAGATGAATGATCATCATTAGAACTTGTTAAAACCTCCTATATGGTGAAAAATGCCATAATTTAAAAAAAATCGTTTTCTATTGAAATGACAGTCTGGTTTTGAAGTTCTCAAAGTTTAAGAAAGGTTTTGAGGAAGTTCTGAAATGTTTCTTTTACACATCTCTGCATAGTTTGTGTTAAGACTATTGAAAGGGAGTGGACTGTTGAATGGGTTGTAGCTATTTAATCCATTTTGAAAATACTTCACTATGGTACACTTATCATAACAAAGTTTGTTGACGTAACTCAAGACAAATTACTTCAACCTTTCTGAATCCAAACTGGGGAATGTGTAGACTTTACTTCAGATTTCCCCGATGTCCTTCAATGTAAAGAGTGGTGGAGAAGTCTGGTTAGATTTTGGTTTTGGAGGGGCCAGGGCAGAGAATAAACTTAGTGCGAACTCTCTCATAGAGGACTAATAAGAATATGAATTGAGATTTTTGGAAGAGGAACAGAAGCAATTGCATTCACACTCCCTAAAGTGTTGTCAGTTGCTTTGTCACCCAAAAGGAAGCCTGGATGCTGGGCAACTGTAAGTGGGTACTGGCTGCTGCTAGGGTGATGGGCCCTTTTCTGGTGAATATCATGATCCCTTTTAGGGAAGGAACTAGCTAGGGAAGTGGGGTGAGGTGCCCAAAACTCCCTGTGCTTCTTTCCAATGCTTTTCTCTGTTGCTCTATTTCTTGCAAGTGCAGAAGCGTGCCAAGCTTTTTGGTCTAGGTCCTGTTTTAAAGAAGAGAGAGCAAGTATAGGTGTGCCTGCAAGCAGCAAGGGAATGGTCAGTAAATTCAGCGTTTTTGGGGCAGTGACAGTGAAAGTTACACTGATAAGCATTTTAGCTTCTGGACAGATCAAAGCTTAATGAATAGACAAAAAGCCCTTGTGGTTGGAGATGGGTCAGCAGCCTATCCTTGTAAAAGGTCTTAAGTTCCGGAAACACAAGACAACCACAGATCAAACAGCATAACTTGCATTTTGTGGACTAATTACAGTCTTTGTTTTCAGGTATTATGAGGTCTTCCCAGTATTACCTTCTTCCATTTGAGGCAAAATTCAAATGAAATACCTTCTTTCTGTACTGAAACTAGACCTAGGCAAAGCGAATGAGAGACAAATTGGGGGAAAATATTTACTCATGCAGTTATTTTCTGAGCATGAAATAGAAAGAGTAGCAGCTCCAGCGTGATGTATAACTAGTAGCAATTTTTCAGGGAAAAGCGAAGTTTTAAATGGTGGGGAATGGGATATTTTTTCACAAAGTGCACAAAGTGCAGCTATCTAGGGCAGCATCAGTATTAGCTCTGAAAACAAAAGCTTATTGATGTAAAAATGCTTGGGGTTTTTTAATCGTATTTCTGCATTAAAAATCTATATGATATAAATTGGATAAAGATGTTTTTCCTGATATCATCTCCTTCACTATCTCAGCAGAATAAACACAGACCCGATAGCAACAATAGAGAAATAAATTTTTGTGCAAGAGTTTGCTTTTTCAGAGGAGCTACAGCGGAAAAAAACCTGTCCTTAAGCTGGAGCAGCAATGCAGATGTGGAGGTTTTTTTGTTCTGTGCATCCATTGCCAGTTCCCTCCCCATCTCCAGCCTTTACCCCCAGTAGGATCTAATCTATAAACAACCCCTCATCCCTGTGCTCCAGCTTCCTTTCTTAAGGTGCTCGAGCCATCAGTGGCCAGTATCTTTTAACACAAATGCCTTTTCCTTCTGATAAGCGAAGCCTTTCAGTTCTTCTTCTGAAGAAGTGTCCATTTGCTGGATATCTGCTGTCCATCTGTAAATGCTCCACCAGAAAGAGACTCCAGATAGACAACCTGCTTGTGAGAAAAGCGTTCCTCAGCTGGCTGGCAGTTGTCATCCTTCCTCAACTGCCAGTAATGAAAAGGTCACCCTTAGCTTATGGAACACCAGCTATGAAAATATGCCTCCTTTCTCCTCCCTGCTGTATCTTTTCAGAATGAGATAACGCAATGTAGTCATTCAGCCCATGCCAAGTGGAGAAAGACCTTTTGTTCTTCCATACGGTATCACCCATGGTGGTTGTACCACCTACATACAACTGCGTAGTGGCAGTGGTATAGTCTGAATATATATATAAACAATTGTTTCAATTGCTTTAGAGTGAGATCTAGGTGTTATTAAGTCAGTAGTGCTGCTTCTTAATGATTTCCAGCAGAATAATGAGTTTTCCAAAGCAACAGTAAGTGCAACATTCACTAGGATTTTTCCAGCAATGTTGTCTGTTTCCTGAAAATGAGTCCCATGAGTCTCAATTACTTCTCTAGGAAATGCAGGAACTGGAGAATGCTGTGACTGATCTCTGCGTCATTTTTGTTGACCAAGGGTCTCTTCAAAACATGACAGTTAATTGCTCCCTTTTTGAAAGGGATGGTGAGACCATGACAGAAAGTGGTAGGTGCCTGTTTGCCCAGGTGCAGTCATATGGAAAGTTTCAGCTCTTTATCCCTGCACGTACATTCTGGCATGTAAAAGTTGCTGTTATCATCCATAAAACCCTTCTGCTTCAAGTAATCTCAGTGCTTCCACACTGCAATGCACTGCCCTGCAGCAGCTCTAGTAATTGCAAAGCTTTCTGGTTGCTGACTGCAATGGCTGGACCTTGCCATTTCCCCTAGGAATAGGACCAGGTAGCGCTAACCATGTCCTTTCCAGAAGAAATACACTAAGTTGGAGTGTGCTGACCCATCTGGCTCCTGTCCTGTTAGAGGGCTTGGCCACTCTGTAGCTTATAGAAAACAAAGATATCCTGCTAACTTATGGGTCTTCTGCACTGGGCAATGCTTATGCTTGCTCCTTGCACCTCTTCAAGCCTTGCACCTCTTCAATTGCAGAGATTTTCTATTTACCAGCATGTCACGTGTATCAGAATATGACCATGGGTGTGATGGGCCAACATAGCTGCTTGAACTGGCAGCGAGCCTCAGAAATGTCTTTTTTTTTGCCAGGGGGAGGAAGAAAGCAGGATTATGTTTTTTTCTTAGCCATTTAACATCGGGAGAGCATGAGTCGTTAATTTTTAACATCCTTATTGTTTATATTGCAAAATGGGAACTGAAGACAATTTCTGGGAGGCTGAAACAAACTCAGTGGATTTCTGCCTCATTCAGTGCTATAATTACCAGAATTAGAGGGCTCAGAAAAGGACTACCTGTAGCTTCAGGGCTACCCTCAAAATGCTGCTGATAATGAAAGCAGAGGCTCATTCTGTGCCCGCTAGCAATGCTGGGCAAACACAAGGCTGCAGTCTGACAGGAGGAAAGGCAAGTAGCTGAAATGAAAAGATTTTATTCAAATAATCAAAGATTTGTAAAATAACCTGTAGGAAAGACTGATGAAACTTGAGCTCAAACATTGATTTAGGTTAAAACAGAATGAGATTAAAAAAAAAACTTGCTTTATGTTTTGTCAAAAAAAATATCCTTAGAAATAGTATTGTTTCTAAAGAAAAAAAAATAATTTTAACAAAACCTAGGTTTTTTTTCTGCAAAAATGCATGGCTGCACTTTTTTTGACAGGTTTGTGTAATCAGACATAACTCAACAAGTGATGTTAAAATATAACCATTGCTTATTATTGTTGTTTACTGTAGGGTTTTTTTAAGAATTCAAACCTGTTAATTCAACTTTGCAGATGCAGTTTTTCCGTAGTGAATAGTCAGAATGCTTTCAGATACGTCAATATAACATTTCCATGTGTTTGGTAGCAGTGGGAATATAATGCAAGTAAGATTCATTACATTTTCATAACACAGTTTTTTAAGCACAGAAGGTCTTGCACCCTGTCGCAGGAGAACAGATTGTGTTCAAATACAGTTTTGCCAGTGTATTTTAAACATGAATTCCTTTAATGCTGGACCTTTCTCAAGAGTGTGTTACTGAAAATTGCTTTCAGTATAAAAATGTTAGCAAAACCAAAATAAATAATGATCCTTTAAGAAAAAATTAAAATCAATAACCCAGTAATTTGGGAAGAAGGTTTTTGTGTCCATGTTTGTGACTTTTCAGCTGAAAGTGAGATGATACCAAATTAAACTTTTAAATATGGGCCCCTGAGAGCTAAGAGTATAAACATAAACTTTTAAATAGATATGACTATAATGTGATGGTAGCTGATACTTTTGCATGCTCTTAATGGGAACAGACACAAACAGTGCACAGCTTCCCAGCAGGTGTAATTTTCTTCTCCAACGATCCATTCATTCTCTGTGACTATTGCCAGGGGTAAAATTGTCCATCAAGTTACGTTTCCCTAACAGCTGAGTCCCTCTGGAAAGAATCCATTTTACCTTTCCCAAATCCTGACCCAGAGCCTGGTGGTGGAGATAACATAATCAATTCAGTCCTCTCTTTTTGCCTGACATCTCAGATCATTGACAAGATATGATCTCAACAAGGAAACTTGGAATAAGGGGATAGGATTTAAACCAGGTTAAAATTGTTCCTGCTGTAAGAATACGGCAGCTGCATCAGATGTCTGTAGTTTCCAAAACCACAGGGGTTCCCAATTATATGTGAATTAGTTTGAATACCAGAGAAATGGCTATTCCACTTGTCATACAAATGAGAGTAAAGCACACAGTGACAAACTTGTACACAGGAGGCTTAACTTAAGGAAAAACTTTTTTATTGTGAGGGTTACAG